AATCGGGGGCTTGCTTACAATTTTAGAGTGTTAGTCCATTAGCATCATAGTAAGCATGGCAGCAGGCATGATGGTACAGTGCTGAAGAAGTAGCTGAGAGCTTTACATTCTGACCCTCAAACATCAGGCAGAAAGAGAGACACTGGGCCCGTATGGGCTTTTGAAATCTCAAAGCCCACCTCCAGTGACACACTTCTCTCAACAAGGCCACACCTACTCCAAAAAGGCCACACCTCCTAGTCCTTCTAATTCTTCTCAAACACTTTGCCAACTGAGGACCGAGCACTGTGGGGGCCATTCGCATTCAAAACATCATATCACTTATCCAAGCAAACATGTCCAGGTCTTACTATGAAGGGACCATTACATCAGTCAGGAGAGGGTGTCTTGCTGGGCCTGACCCAATCCACTAGAGGGCTCTGAAAGATGATCTGTGGTTTTTCTGTAGGAGAGGCTATCCTACCTGGACATTAGGTAAAGCCAATGACTGTGAGCTTCCAGAGCACATTTCCCTTCCTGCCTGCCCATAGAATTCCATTGCTCAGCCAGCCCTTTCAAAGGCAGAGTCAATCTCTTATTATAAGTACACACACATAACATGTATGTGTTATGGATGTTAATCTCACCCTAGTTGGCCTTTCTGGTTGAATTCCAATGCATATTAATTACCTTGTTTATGAAAGCTGGAAAATTATGCTGAGGGACATGTACTGTAAAGGAATTAATTATATCAGCATTATGGTTAGAAATTGCAGTCACTAGTAAATCTTGGGATTTCCTTTCTTGCAGTATAGTATATGTTGTGAAAGGGCCCCTTCCTTGCCTGAAGGCTGGGCTTTTAATCTTATTTGATTTGACTTAAACAATGGGTTCTCAGTCAATGAGCCCTAGAAACTGAGTGCAAAATTATTCTGAGGAAAGTCTATGTTCTTACTAGATTCTCAAAGATGCATTTCTTCTCAAAATAGAATAATCATTGCTTATGTTGAAATTATGTTATTTACATTCATTTTTTCCAGTGAATCTTCATACCTTATGAATGGAAAGTTGGTCTTATTGCTTACCTTGTTCAAAAATTGCTGTTGGCATTTTATTTATTTATCTATTTATTTATAGAAGGGAGTATGGAACAAGCCACTCGTAATCAGGAGAAATCCAATTTATATCTTTCCTTGATTAAAAGTCCATAAACACAGGGTGAGATAATAGCACCTAAGAATGCTACACATTAAAAATAATCTCAAATAGGTAAGGCAATCATTGATGCAGAAAATACAATCTAAGTCATCTTCAGTTCATATTGAGCCCGAACTAAATAAAATGATAATTTAGAGAATTTCAATGTGGTTCTTTAGAGCCAGCTTGGGGGTGCACACCAGTGACCCTAGTGCTCAGAGGCCGAGGCAAGGGGTGGGTGGGGAACAACAGTTTAAGGCCAGCTGGGCTACATAGGGAGACTCTGCTTAAGAAATGATAAAATGGGAACTGAGGAGATGACTCAGTGGGTAAGAGCACTTGCTATGAAAGGAAGAGAACCCTAGTTAAAATCTCCAGCACTCACATAAAAGCCAGGCATAGCCATGGGTGCCTGGAATCTCAGCATTGGGGAGCAAGACAGGCTGATGCTAAGAACTTGCTGGACAGCCAGCCTACCTGAAACTATGAGAAGATCCTGTCCAAAAAAGAAAAAAAAAAGGTGAAGAATGATAGAGGAAGACATTTGACACCTGTAGTGGTTTGAAAGAAATGGTCCCCATAGGCCCACAGGGAACGGCACTACTTGAGAGGGATTAGGAGGTATGGCCTTGCTAAAGGACATGTATCACTGAGAGTGGGCTTTGAGGTTTCAGGAGCTCAAGTCAGGTCCATTGATACTCTTCCTGCAGCTTGTGGATCTAGATGTAGAACTCTCAGCTACTTCTCCATACCATGTTTGCCTGTGTGCCACCATGCTTCCCACCATGATGACAATGGACTAAACCTTTGAACTGTAAGTCAACCCCTTATAAGAGTTGCGATGGTCATGGTATCTCTTCATAGCAATAGAAGCCAAAATTAAGACAACACCTTCCTCTTGCCTCCTTGTGCACACATATGGGTGAATATACCCCCCTCCTTACACACACATACATACAAAACCAGACAGGAAGAAAAATTAGATTGCTAAATACCCTTCATTTCTTTTGTTTGAAGAGAGATTTGTACTTGATATATTTGAAAAACAGCATAAGCAGTCTAAATTCACACTAAACAATCCCCTAGTGAAGGGACCAGCCCCCCATTTCGGCAGCCATGACAGTAACACGTGCTCGCTATGACCTTGCCTTAGTCACTAGAGGTTAGGTGCCTGCCTCGTGACAAGGAACCAATCAGAAGTTAGCTGGTGGCACTATGCTTTACGACTCTGGGTGTACTTTACGGACAAGAGCACAGCAATGACGCGCAGAGCATAGCAACCACCCTGTGAAGGCCTATGGGCCATAACAACCAACTGGCCAATCAACACAGGGCAAGCCCTCCAAGGCTGGAGGCACACCAATCGTGAGCCTGTGCGTACCCCTAGACACTCCCCTTACGCTGCCCTACAAGATTTCTCTCTGCAGCGGTTCGAGCTGTCTTTTGCGAGCCATCCACCATGGCGGGTGGGTGAAAGACCTGAGCTAACATAGGCTTAGCTCGTTAAAAAACAATAAAGCCTCATGAAGTTTGCATCAGGCTCTCGAATCTGCCTGGTGATTGGGGTGACCGAGAACGTGGCCTAGGACCCCGGATATCTGAGTTTTTCCAGGGGTCTAACATTAGGACATCAAATCATTTCATAAAATTATAGTGAAGTCAGAACCAAAGCCAAGTTGTTAGACCCCCGAAAACTCAAGTATCCGGGGTCCCAGGCCACGTTCTCGGTCACCCCAATCACCAGGCGGATTCGAGCTCCTAGGGGCTCTCGAGAGATCTTATAGGACAGCGTAAGGGGAGGCCCTAGGAGCCGTCTTTTTCTAGCCATCCACCATGGCGGATGGGTGAAAGACCCGAGCTAACATGGGGTTAGCTCGTTAAATTATAATAAAGCCTCGTGCAGTTTGCAGCAAGCTCTCGAATCCGCCTGGTGATTGGGGTGACCGAGAACGTGGCCTGGGACCCCGGATACTTGAGTTTTCGGGGGTCTAACACTACCACATTTGGCCTCTTCATATGGGTTCTGGGGAATGAACTCACACCCTTGCGCTCACAAGGCAAGCATGATACTGAATGAGTTATCCCCCACAGGTCTAGATTGGTCTCTGATCTGGAAGGCAACAGAGCTAACCTACAAAGCCATCTTAGAAATTCATCCAGGGCTCAATTATTTGCTTAATCTTAAATGTTTTATGAGTGTATTGCTATAGTTAGTAGTTATATACTGCTATAAAATGAAGTGTCTGTCAGCTGCTAAGGATTTCATAGTTTACCAAGGAAGACAAAATACTAGTGAAACATGATATGTTAGTTTCAAGAAGATGTAACTAACCCCCAGCTAACTTCTGTTTGGTTCCTTGTCACGAAGCAGGCATCTGACTTTCTAGTGTCTAGAACAAGGTCATAGAAGCACATGTTCGACCATTATGGCTGCCAAAAGGGAAGCTGGTCCCTTCACTCCTAATCCACACCCTGCTTTCCAGATAGGAATCAGAAAAACAATTCAGAACATAAATCCCAATATGCCTCCCCTTCACTTAGCTCAATAGCAATCTCTCTTCAGAATGAATTCCCAACATCTAACCCTGGGATGACCTGGTCCTGTTTCTTTCCTCACCCACTGTGTTCATCTCTCTGAGTTGTGGCTATTGTACCCAGCACCATACAGGTTGGTAGCACATGAGACAGACAGTTGGAAATTGTAATGTGTTTCCTTCCGGTCACCTGGGCAGACAGTGTGTCCAAAGCAGATTGAGGGCTCCTTCAAGTCAAAAGAGAATAATGACTAAAATGATGGATTTTTAATAAAATGGCTCTATCACCCTCAAAAGTCCAATGTATTTTTTAAAAAGCCAAATTATGTCTGATAATTTTACTAATATGTGTTATGATAACTATCATAAATGAAAGATGTTATGATTGATAGTAAAAAGTCTCTTATTTGTCCTTGTAACTATGCCCAAACTGAAGTTAAACTCAAAGGAAAATTAGAATTTCAAGACAAGAAAAATATTTCCTATTGTAATATAAGATCCTATTTTTATATGAGAAAGTAGGCTGGGCGTTGGTGGCACATGCCTTTAATCCCAGAAACCAGGAGGCAGAGGCAGAAGGATCTTTGTGAGTTCAAGGCCAGCCTGGTCTCCAGAGCGAGTGCCAGGATAGGCTCCAAAGCTACACAGAGAAACCCTGTCTCAAAAAACCAACCCTCCCAAAAAAAAGAGAGAGAAAGTAAAGAACAATCCACTTCTTTATTTCAAAATTTGCTTATTTATTGTATGTATGAATGTGTGTGCACAGGTGCATGTTCATGGTGTATATGTGAGCGCATGAACGTCAGAGGCCACTCTTGGGAGTCAATTCTCTCCTTCCACCATGGCTTCCAGGGATCAAACTCAGATTGGCAGGATTATGTGCCTTTACCCACTGAACTATCTCATCATCCCATATTTCTTTACTTTTTAAGGCACATGAAATATTGTGTTTCAGCATGGCATCACCATACATATGTGTCATTGTATTTTGTTCTCAGTCTTTTGCTTGCCCAGTGCCCTACAGGGCACACCAGTCCCTTTCTTTGCCTCAGTACTCATTTCTGCTTTCCTTTTACATGACATCTACTACCTACCCTCTCCCTTCCCATGTCATTTAAGCTCTCTTTTTACCCTCTCATGACCTCTTACTATTTCCGAAAAGAATAATTCTGACCACCTACCTGACAGGTATAAAGATGGAAATGAAAGAAATATAGATAAATCTAAACATTGAACCAGAGAGCAAGAATTTCATAGAAAGTTATTTTATTACCAGAACAGTATGCTTCCTTATGTTTAAGATCTATTTATTCTTTTTACAAGTACCAAAGTCCTTCCATCTTTTCCCAAGTGAATATACATGAATATAAAAACTGATGATTTTGCATACTGTCCACCCCATCTAGTCTGGATCACTGGAGTAGCTGTGTTCTCCCTTCTACTTATTCTCAAAGCAGCATTCAGTCATCCTCTTGCTGATTTCTTTTCTGTAAAAGGAAACCAAGAATATGTTAAAGAAGCATATTCGAACTGGGACATCTGCCCAGCCAATGTCACTGTTTCTTTCAGAAAGTATAATTTTCTGGAGGTCTTCACAAAAGATGTGGCTAGAAATTATAGAAAAAAGATGCTTTAACTAATTTGATAAGCTGGCTTATTATCTCAGGCATCTGAATAGATTTTTTCTTTCTTACATAGGTAAACTCCCACAAAGAAATATACATGGATGGAAACACATATATTCATAATCACCATATAGTGGCTTGATCTCCAAGCCCCATGAAAACATACATACTTCAACACTAGTATGCAAATGTTTCAAAATGAGTATGTGTCATAAAAGTATCTTCTGCTATCCTGACTGACAAATTATCCCTTCAGTTTGTAGTTCCTATTTACTTACAAAGTGGCCTAATTCTATTTCACTGTGGTCTTTAACCCATAACCAGCAACAGAAGTCCAGGTGGTCCAGGAATGAAAGGAAGTGCCACAAAGCACACTTGAACCCCAATCTGAAAGGATGGCCAGCATAAACTTCCATATACTCTACCAGCTTAAGAAAATCTATGAGCTTGTGAACGTCTTCCCCGGTGGAGAGATCCACGAAGTCCTTGGGCAGTCGGTAGCTCAGATAGGGGCTGGGCTGCACTGTGACCTCACTGTTTGTGCATCGGAAAGCTGGAGAATCCTTTACAAAGAGAAAACAGCCAAGTCTATCTTTTTGTTTTTAAGTTCTATTTTCTAAACTTAACACTAACACAATTTCAATGCCAGTGTTTTCTTCTGTACTAGAGAAGGAAGAAAACAAGACCCTAAAGTAAAAGGCACCAAGAATTTAAAATAATTCCACATGGTCACTGGAAAGTGAATAGAAAGCCTTTCAAAGCAGCGGTCCATTTAGAGCAGGGTGGGTCTCTAAGAGCAGCCTGTGTACAACAGCATGTGCGGGGCAGATGCTCCTGAGCAGGACAGGGCCCATGTTAGTCCCCTCTGGGCCCAAGCAATATCATAGGCTATATTATCATCACTTTCTACAGGTGTGCAGTTGGGAGGCATGATCTTGCAAGTACTTGATCAAGTCTTGGGTAGAATGTTTACATGTTACTTTGTGCCAAAAAGGACTACAGAGACAGAAGGCCCTGGCTTTGGACTTCCTAGGCGGTGGATATCAAGGTGAAGATGGTTGGTGTCCAGCAGAGGAAGACAAGACAGGAACTTAACAAGTTAGGACCAGGAAACCATGGAAAGCAGGCCACACCTTACACAGATAGCCCAAACACCTGCTAAGAGTCATCTGCTCTGTGCAGGCTTTGTTCTGGGAATGGGAGATAGAGCGGAGCACCAGGAGACAGATGGTTAACAGATGAACAAAGAAATGACCAGACTATGTCAGACAATGAAGGTGTTATGGAAACCAAGAGCTGGGCAATGTGCTAAGAAGACAGTGATGACCACTATAGAGGGACGGGCTGGAGTCTCCTATAGAGAGGTAGTCTTGCTAAGGGGCTGAGAGCTGAACAGGAGCAGGGAAGGCTTTGGAGGCAGTGGCGACAACTAGATCAAAGACTTCTAGATCAAAGACTTCAGGCATAGCTGGGCTTCTCAGGCTTCTTAGGTTTCTGGGGTAGAGGGAAGTCTGGGTCTCTATGACCAAGGATAAGCAGGGCAAGTGCTGGGGAAGGAGCCAGGAACCACATCCTGTCAAGTCCCAACCTCTAAGATTTAGAAGTAAATAAAACATGGTGTGGAGAATAATCCTGTAAAACCACTTCTGCCAACAACTATGTCTCTCCTACTTAACTAAGTAACATGTTTTCTTTCCATCTTTCAGTTTAACAGTGAGCCTGTGCGTACCCCTAGACATTCCCCTTACGCTGCCCTATAAGATCTTTGGGAGCCGTCTTTTCAGGCCATCCGCCATGGCGGGTGGGTGAAAGACCCGAGCTAACATGGGGTTAGCTCGTTAAATTACAATAAAGCCTCGTGCAGTTTGCAGCAAGCTCTCGAATCCGCCTGGTGATTGAGGTGACGGTGAACGTGGCCTGGGACCCCGGATACTTGAGTTTTCGGGGGTCTAACACCAAGAATAGGAGAGACATCATCCTTCAGAAATCTGAGTCTAGTGAGGGTACAGCGCATCAACAGGTTTGGCAGGGACCACATTAGACTGAATAATCAGGTGCAAAGGGAAGGCCAAAGAGGGCCCAGGACACAATGATGACAGTAATGGAAGGATGAGTGAAATAAAACATGCTCCTCATAAAGGCAGAGAAGAGGCCAGAAAAGTAGGAAGAGAGCATAAGTCTCTCAAAGGAAGAAATGCTGTAAGATTAAGAGGGCACCTGCTGAGCACAGCAGTAAGAGAGAGGCTGTGTATTTCTCATCAAAGTCACTCAGGGTCCTCGCCAAGGGCAGGAACTAAGTGGTAGGACAGAAGCTGGTTGGCAGAGGAGTAAGGAATGTGTGGTGACAAAAGAGAGGTCAGACAGCAAGAGACTAGGGAAGTGGGCTGTGATGAGACGCAGCTCCTAAGCTCTTGCAGCAGTTCCATAACTGGACTTACTTAGGGATGACTGCATGAGCATGGGTGGGAAGCTATTTAACTGAGTAAAGGCAACTTAACTGCAGCTACCAGTGAATAGGATGCTTCCTCTCCCATCAACTGTTTACTTTGCCTGTAGCTTCTCAGGCAAGTCTGTTTAAGGGTAGAAAAAGAAAGGTCAGCTATGAAGATGGGAGAAAGGAGAAGTGTAGCTGTGTAAATACATGTTGTTAAAGAAAAAAATTAAGATGGGGAGCTATATGAACTTGGCTGAACCCTAATGGATAGGAATAGACAAGAAGAGGGTGAAAAACACATGTTCAAAACAAAAGTTCAGCAGAGAGCTCAAGGCTTAGGAATGTTAGGCAAGAGTGAGCTCAAGACTTAGGAAGGCAGGCAAGGGTGCGCTCAAGGCTTAGAGTGTGGGCAAGGGTGAGCTCAAGTCCTGTAACTGAACTGAGTAGTTTCTCCTTCCTGTAGAGGGCTAACAGGATCTGCTGAGAAAGATAAGGAGCAATGACTAGAAGAGGTGAGGAGCCAGGAGAAGTGGGACCATCCTGGAGACAACTGAGATGAAAGCTGACCAGGGACTCTCACCATGAAAGCAGAGGTCACACTGTGCAGAGACTCTGGTCTAGGCAGACATGTAGCTACTGCTCTCTGTGAAAGCTCAACAGGGAGCAGGACCAGAGAAGCAGTAGTATGAACTGACTGGGGATCAGGGTTCTTCCAGGTGACTATGACAGGCAGAGCTAAGAAAACTAGAGTAAGTAGAAAAACTGTTTTCCACATGTCCCTCCTTGAACACTCTGATGGGAAGGAAAGGCTAGACAAGCTGTGTCTGCTGGACTCTTTCCCAGTCGTCCAGGTTCTGCCTATGAGATCAACAGAGTGGTGAAAGGACTGAAAAGGCTGGTCTTACCTGCCCCTGAGAAGCCCCTTCACCGAAGTCACCTCTTAGGTTGTTCTCAGATGTCAGGTCTTCCCAAGTAAACAACAGTGAGTCTGTGACTTCCCCAAATGGATTAAAGTCAATCAGCCACACCTTCCCCTAGAGCACAGAAAAAAAAAAAAAATCAGCTAAGTATAAAATAAACCCAAACACAACCTATACTTGCTTATTAAAAAGGCATTTTCCTATTATTTTCCCATAATGGTCATCTTAAACTCTTGGGAACTATTTCAAAAGATCATCCCTCAGTGTCTCACAGACAGATCTAAGAGGCTGACTGATACAGAGGGAAGAGAACCAGTAAGAAGGGCACCGATGAGGGCCCATCTAAACACACTACAAAGAGTACAGAATTTTCTTTTCTTATTTTTAGTTTTCAATGTGGCATTTAGCATGTATGTATGACAGAGCTCGAAAGCACATGAAGGGAAATGAAAAAGATTATATCGACCTTTGAAAGGAATTTCTTGTCTCCAGAGACAGTCTACAAAATGCTCACCTAAGGGAAAGAATGCTTCAACCTGTTCAGCTGTGCTAGAGTCAGGAATACCTGAGCAGAAAGTAGCCAGTATAGACCTATCTGAACTGGCAATGTGTGCAATCTTAGGAAATCAAAGCCAGCACATTTGATCTCACAGCCACTTGGGACATACAGTAGACATGTTTAAATTTTAATTTTCCTTCTCCTGGTTCTCCTGGTTCTCCTGGTTCTCTCTCTCTCTCTCTCTCTCTCTCTCTCTCGCTCTGTCTCTCTTCCT